CAACAGGAAAAAAAATTTTTTAAATACAGAAATTGATCCAAGTGCATTTGGAAATTTAGTGAATGATAAAAATGGCATATGTTAAGTCAGTGGTAACAAATATTTAAAAAGTGGTATTCTCACAACTAATAGCCATATGGAAAAGGGTAACACTGCCTTCATCTCTTATACTGCACATCTAAATTCCAAATGGATTAGAGAGAGATAAACATTAAAAAAGTCTTAGAAGGAAATATAAATTCCTTGATAATCTGGAAATGGGGACACTTCCTAACCTGGACTCAAAATCCAAGAGAAATGTGTGGAAAACTAATGAAGTGTTTATATTCCAAAGATATAAAAAATATTCAAGGAATACCAATCTTTCTCAAACTTAAAAAACTAGGCAAAGAGGGAGCACTTCCAAACTCATTTTACAAGAACAGCATTACCCTGATGATAAAACCAGACAAGAACACACAAGAAAATTATGGACCAATATCCCTAATGAACATAGATGTCAAATTCCTCAGTTTTAGCAAACCAAATTCAGTACATTAAAAGGATTACATACAATGATCAAATAGGATTTATTCCAAGGATGCAGGGATGGTTCAGCCTCTGTAAATCAACATGATATACCACATTAACAAAAAGGATAAAAATCCTATCTTCAATTGATGCACAAAAAGCCTTTGACAAAATTCAACATCCATTTATGATAAAAGCCCTCAACAAAATGGGTATAGAGGTAATGTACCTCAACATAATAAATGCTATATATGACAAGCCCACAGCTAACATCAATGTCAGCAGTGAAAAGCGGACATCTTTCCCAGTAAGATCAGGAACAAGACAAGAGAGCCTACTTTCCTCACTTTTACTCAACATAGTATTGGAGGGGTGCCTGGGTGGCTCAGTCGTTAAGTGTCTGCCTTCGGCTCAGGTCATGATCCCAGGGTCCTGTTCTCTCTCTCCCACTCCTCCTGCTTGTGTTCCCTCTCTCACTGTGTCTCTCCCCGTCAAAAAAAAAAAAAATCTTAAAGAAGAAACCCAAAACAAAACATAGTATTGGAAGTTGTAGCCTGAGAAGTTAGGCAAAAAAAAAAAAAGTAAAATGCATCCAACTTGGAAAGGAAGTGGTAAAACTATTTGCAGATGACATGTTTTTATATATGAAAAACTGTAAAGACTCCACAAAAAAACTGTTAGAACTAGTCAAATTCAGTAAAAGTTGCAAGATACAAAGTTAATACACAGGAATTTGTTGTATTTCTGTATACTAGTGACAAGCTCTCAGAGAAGTTAATACTCCCATTTATAACTGCATCACAAAGAATAAAATACCTAGGAATACATTTAACCAAGGAGGTAAAAAAAAAAAAAAAAAAACCTGTACACTGAAAACTGGAATACATTGAGAAAAGAAACTGAAGAATACACAAAGAAATGGAAAGACATGGATTGAAAGAATATTGTTAAAATATCTGTACTCCCCAAAGCAATCTACAGATGCAGTGAAATCCCTGTCAAAATCCCAATGGCATTTTTCACAAAAAAAAAGAGCAAATTTTTATGGAATCACAGAAGACCCTGAATAGCCAAAGCAATCTTAACAAAAAAAGCCGGAGGCATCACAATTCCTGATTTCAAACTATATTACAAAGCTGTGGTATTAAAAGAGTATGGTATTGGCACATAAACAGATACAAACAGAATAGAGAGCCCAGAAATAAACCCACACATATATGATCAATTAATCTACAACAAAGGAATGAGGAATATACCATAGGGAAAGGCCTCTTCAATAAATGGTGCAGAGAAAACAACAGCCATTTGCAAAAGAAAGAAATGGGACCACTATCTTACACCATATACAAAAATTAACTCAGAATGGATTAAAGACATGTAGGACATGAAACCAAAAAACTTCTGGGAGAAAACATAGGTGGTAAGCCCTTTGACATCTGTCTTGACAATGATTTTTTTGATGTAACACTAAAAGCAAAGGCAACAAAAGCAAAAATAAGTGGGACTACATCAAACTAAAAAGCTTCTGCACGGCAAAAGAAACCATCAGCAAAGTGAAAAGGCAGCTTAGGAAACGGGAAAGAGTATTTGCAAATCACACATCTGATAAGGGTTAATGGCCAAAATATATAAAGAACTGTAACTCAATAGAAAAAAGATAGGCAGAGGATCTGAATGTACATTTTTCCAAAGATTACATATAGACTGTCAACAAGTACATGAAAAGGTGCTCAACATTACTAATCATCAGGGAACTACAAAACCACAACAAGCTGTCACCTCATAACTGTTAGAAATGGTTATTATATATATAAAAAAAAATGTTGGTGACAATGTGGAGAAAAGGGAACCCTTAGGTGCTGTTTGGTAGGAATGTAAAATGGTGCAACCAGTATGGTGAACAATATGGAGATTCCTCAAATTAAAAATAGAACTACCTTGTGATCCAGCAATTCCACTACTGGGTATTTATTCAAAGGAAGCAAAATCACTAACTTGAAAAGATATCTGTACCGCCACATTCATTGCCAGTATTTATTAATAGCCAAGACATATAAACAACCCCAGTGTCCATCAGTGGATGAATGCATAAAGAAAATATATACGTGTGCAATGGAATATAATTCAGCCACAATAAAGGAAATCCTGACATTTGTGCCATCATGGATAGACCTTGAGGACATTGTGCTACGTAAAATAAGTCAGAGAAAGATAAATACCCTATGATCTCTCTCACATGTGGAATCTAAGACAAAACACTGAATTCATGGATACAGAGAATAGATTGGTGGTTGCCAGAGGCAGAGGGTGGGGGAATGGGCCAAAGTGTGCAGGTAGTCAATAGATAAAAACTTCCAGTTACGAAATTAGTCTTAGAGATACAGTGTTCAGCATGGTGACTATAGCTAACAATGTATATTAGAAAGTTGCTAAGAGATTTTAATTGAAATCTAGTTGACGCAATTAGTTTGTGGCATACAGCATAGTGATTCAGCAAGGCTATATATTATGCTGTGCTCACCGGCAGCGTAGCCCCTCCATCTCCTTACAACGCTATTATAAGACCATTGACCGTGTTCCCTGTGCTGTACCTTTCATCCCCAGGACTTACTCATTCCATGCCTCCCTCTCCCCCTTTACCCCTGAAAGAAATCTTACAAGTCTCCCATCACAAGAAAAAGGAAAAATTCGTAATTATGTGTGGTGATGCATGTTTATGAGACCTATTGTGATCATTCCACAGTATAGCGAAGAATTGTGTTGTGCATCTGAAACTAGTATGTCAATTATGTCTCTAAGGTGAAGGGCAGCCTAATGGAAAAATGGGCCAAAAATAGTAACAGTTCACAGGAATAAGAGAAAAAATGGCTCTTAAACATATATATGTATGTATGTATGTGTATATATATATATACACATACATACATATATATATAAAAAGTTCTGTCTTCCTCAAAATAAAGCTACCTGATATACTCTAGCATTGTTCATGAGAGACTGGTAAAAATCCAGTTTGACAACATATTCTCTTGGTGAAGCTCTTGAGGGGAAAAAAAAAGCATTCATCAGTATAACTAGTAGGAATAAAAATGGTAGAATTCCTATGGAAGTACTGGCATATCTAGCAAAATTATACTCTTTAATGCAGCAATCCTATTTCTGGAATCTCCCCCAAAATAAGATTGTCCATTGCAACACTATTTGTAAAAGGCAAAGACTGGAAACAACCGAGATGTCCATCAATACATCTGTACAGTGGACTGCTCGGGGGGGGGGAGGTGAGGGGAATAAAAGAAGGGTGTAGTTAAAGCAGGTACAAAATAATGTACAGTATGCTAGCTCTTGTGTAAGAATGTGTATGCATTGTGTGTTTACACATACACGCTTATATTTTCAAGAAGATACAAAAGGATAAAAATATACATAGTTACCTGTATGGGATGGGAGGGAACCTGTGCTGGACAGAGAATAGACTCCTCTGGATGTACCTTGTTTTACAGTTTTTACTTTGCAGTCACTTAAATGTTTTACAGAATTAAATCATGCAAAACAAACCGATCTAAAAATTGAGAGGATAAAAAAGGGAAGCAAATTAACACACTTATATGTCAAGTTGGTAACATAACCAAACGGAAGAATTTTTTTCCAAGTGATTTTCATCAAACACAGTATTTCAGTTAGAAAACCCTAGTGGATCTGTTTTTGGTGACACAAAGAGCCAGAAAGAAATCTTAAATTTCTTTCACAGTCTGTGTTAGTAATATATTGACACTGTTAGTTTGAAACTGTTGTATGCATTGTAAATTAAAGCAAATAAATGTGTAAATGTAATCAGGAACTAAGATTTTCAGTTTAAAGAGAAAGAGCGAAGAGTAAAAAAAAAAAAAAAAGTAGTGAAGCAAAAACTCCAGTCTTTATATGTGCAAAGAATTTTGCACAAACTCGTATTAACAAACCTTAGCCCGTAGCTTTTTTTTTTTTAATCGTAAGTCCCTTTACTGTCAAGTCCTTAGTGGGATGAGTTCTATAATCTCTCGGTATCCATTTCCCTGAGTTTCCAGTATGTCAAAGTTTTGCTGAGGTATTCCTAAGGCTCTTTTCATCTTTAGCCATATTACTTTTCACACACAGCTAACAGCTCTAATAACGCAGTTTATCTTCACAACCACTCTCCTCTACCTGGCTTTTTCCTTTCTTCCTTTCTGCTACATCTGAATTTTGGACACAGTCCTTTGTTACAGTATTTGTGTTCAAAATTATCAGTAAAATGTTGACACTGTTCCAGGTAATTTGTGCAATCTCATTGCATCTTGTACGGCAGAATTTAAGGTGTTGTGGCAGAAGTATTTTAGGAGTAGTGATACAAGACCACCACTTAAATCACAATAAAGGCCTTGGCAGTGGAGTTGGTATATTCAACTCCTTTTGGTAATCCCAACCTCCCTTTCCTACACTGCAAATAATTTGTGTGTATGTGGGGTTTTTTTTAGATGGCTATTCTTATGAAAAGGAAGCAATGGAAAATTGGATCAGCAAAAAGAAACGTACAAGTCCCATGACGAATCTCGTTCTTCCTTCAATGGTACTGACACCAAACAGGACTCTGAAAATGGCCATCAGCCGATGGCTAGAGACACATCAAAAATAAAATTGTTTATATTGTTTATATTCTTCAGTGATCTCATTTGAATGATTTAAAGGTAAATGTTAATATTATTAAAAGCAAAACAGGAGAAAAGTGATTTAGCTACCTATAAAAACTTTTTCTTTAAATCATATGGACTAAGTAACATATCTGACTTCTTTTCTATTTTTACTATAAAAGCCTTTTTGTATTAGTGAGAGAAATCTTAACCTGTAGAAAAATAAAGTTTCACTTTGAATTAAAATTGCAATGCTCAAATTCTTGCTCGATAAAGGTCATATTCTCATTACAACTAAAGATCAGAATAATCAAGAACATAACATTGAAATCCTAGTTAATTAAAGCCATTAATTTGATAACTCTTTGGAATCTTTTTAAAGAGAATTTGTAGCAAAATAGTTTTATGACTAAATTGAGAAAACCATTTTGAAATGTTTAATGAGCAATTTCGTTGGATTCTAAATTTGCAAGGTGGTAATGATTTTTCCCCACAATCCAAACCTGTGTAGAAGTTAGATGGAATACATTATCATGAATATGTCAAGTTGGCTTTGTTGAAATATAGCAGCAAACCAGCCTCCTTTTAGAGTTCAGAATTCTTAAAGTTATCATATAACATTCTAAGCTAGGGTAACTATACATTTTTACACAAGAGATTGGTGTTTAATACAATACCCTGATAAGTGTTCCCTCAGCAGAAAACTTCAAGTTCACGAAGTTGAGGTGGTAGCAACTTTCCCTACCTGTCGTAAGCTGTGTCCCGGAACAGAAGGCACATTAGAACCCAGCTGTAAGAGCAGGCAGGGCCCAAGACTCTGTTCTTACCCCCCGCAAAACCCTCATTTTACTGTTCAAAAATTCAAAAACTCAGAAATGAGGGGAAAAGTGATATAATTATGTATATAGTCTTTTTCTATATTTTACAAATTTACAGCTAATATGCTGTGTTCACAGAATTGTGCAAAGCCTAGCTATCACAAAAAGCTCCAAATAGCTTTTCTTTATAATTGGCTGCTTTGTAAAATTTCCATCCTCCTAATGGATTACCGAATTTTATTTCCTTTGTGTACCTAGCTGGGATTTATAGTCAGATTCTACAAGAGGATTTTTTCATACCACCCATGCTTCTTACATTCAAGTGAGGACAAAAAAAAAAAAAAAAAGGTTGGGAACACATTTTAGGTGTTTTTCCATTGTATTCTATAGAGAAAGTAGGTTAACATAATTTTAACAAAAGATTTTTTAAGTGACAGAGCCCACCATTGGGCCAAATATTTTTTGTTCTGATTGACAGACTTATTTTCCAAAGGAGGCAGACTGGTTTTTTACATAAAAGTTATTAAAAATCGGGGCACCTGGGTGGCTCAGTCGGTTGAGCATCTGCCTTCGGCTCAGGTCATGATCCCAGGGTCCTGGGATGGAGCCCTGCATCAGGCCCCCTGCTCGGCGGGGAGCCTGCTTCTCCCTCTCTGCTGCTCCCCCTGCTTGTACACACTCTCTGTCAAAAACAAAATCTTAAAAAAAAAAAAAATTATTAAAAATCATTGACATCATTGATAGAAAACAAAATAAAAGATTGGTTATCTTTTAAATGTGTTAAAGGTGGCAATTTTCTCTTCTACGTTTCACCATCATAGTTTGTTACCCAAATGGTTGAAAACTGAGATGCCAATAATTTACTAAAGTGAAGTGCTTCTGTTTATGAATGCAAATAAATCCAAAGCCTGACAACTCCTCCTCCCCCCAGACACACAAGGAAACAAACCAAATCCAAAACCACCCCCAGGAAGGGACCCCACAAGACCCCTCCGCCATGCTCCCCAGGCCAAGCCCTTCACTGAGGATGACACGGGAGCGGTGTTCACCTGCCTGTAGCCCTGGCCTCAGCACTGACTAGTGACTTCCCAAAAAGACTTCTCTCCGGGCTAACTGGGCCAAATATCTTTACTAAGACTGTATCAAAATCCTAATGTAGTTTATAATAAATTCCAGGAGTCCCACTGGCAGTTTCATAGCCAAAGTCATCTAACAATTCTCTGTCAGCTAAGAACACTTTTCCGTCCCACCTGGTTTTTTGTTTTTAACCCCTAAGTTTAATATAGAGCTTTAAAGAAGGACTTTACTCAGCCTTACTAATAACAGTCATACCCAGACAGGAACCTGAAGGAGTCTTAGGGGATACCCCGGCCTAAGACTCTACCTCAGGGTTTTATCACAATACAACCCAGTTTGATGTTCACCTTCATTCCCACTGCTCTGAGACAGAAATACGTGGGGATAAAGACAAATGCCTCTTTTAACTGAAAGATTATACAAATGTGAAGAACTCTCATAATCAACACAGTGTGCGGTGTATTGCCAAAGTGTTTGAGAGTTACAGTACTAAACAGATCTTGCTGCCAGTAAAAACAGACACCAAGATTTCTGAAACAGGTAAGTACAGAATGCTCTTCCTCCTATTTCAGGCAAAAAGACTAATGTTAACCACTGAATATTCTGAGATATCATGAAGCTTTGCCCTTTTTCTGAAATTATTCTTCAATGAAATTAAATATGCATCTGGTAGTATTACTATAAAAATAGACCTTTCACTATTTCCTTTAGGGTAACAAGATCACCCAGGATTAAACCAAAGCAGATCACTGTCATCAGGACAGTCTCTACTTATCCACTGTTTCACTTAATACAAAACAAATTCTATTAATATTCTTTATTCCATATGGAAAAGTACAGTAGTTGTGCAGAAACAAAACTACATAACAAAAGAGTAAGACTTCCACAAATATTAAAGAAAACAATGAACAATAAATAAGCCATAGTACTTACAGCAGAACTCATGGAAAGCCTATAAAAATGATAAAGCTGTACAAAGTACGCTTACACACTCAGGAACAAATGTTGAAGAATGACACCAGAAGACTTCCTATTCGTACAAAACCATAATGATGCTCACAAGAACTTCAAGACAACTATTCATTTTTAAAACATTCTGTAAATATAGAACTTCCTTCTCCCCAATTCTAGAAAATAAATTTCACATCCCAACATATAAAACAACTATACTCCCACCTCTTTGAAATTAGCATTTTCACATCCTCCAACAGCACACCATTTTCATATAAAAATACCTTTAAACCAAGGTTCATTGCTGTACCTTATCTTTACAAATGAATAATACATCAGTTTGGACTTAAGTAGCACCTCAAAGGTGTTCATATAAATGAGATAAAGTGCTGTTACCTGTATACTGTTATCATGCCATAATAATACATCGTTCAGTGCAATAATCAGCATGAAGGAAGCTTACAAAGAACATGCAAATATATGAGTTTTTTATGATTACTTGAAATAGTTATATTTACAAGTCTGAATACAACTTGACTATTTAATATGTACAACATGTGACTATAAAAGTCATGATTGTATAATGAAACAAAAGCAACAACCAACCATACCTTAACTATCCAAATTCAATAGTGTCCTTAAAGGACCTTGGAACGCCTCTCCCAGGAGTGCCCTATCATTGTTAAAAACAGTTTGGGAACCAGCTGAGAGCTAATTTACGTATCGTAAAGAGTGCCGTATTCTTAGTATTTTAGCCTAAATCCAACTTTAGCCTAAAACCACCAATCGTGATTCCAAATGGCTTATGCTGTTTCCAAACGTTAAAAACACCTTGAAGTGGGAATATAGTTCCAAAAAAGGTGCTATAAAAATATTTTTAATGAGAACCATAACATGGAACTAAATGTTTAATCCTCTTAAGGGAACTACTACGCAGGGAACAATACTTGGATGTTCTCGTATTTTGCTTAAAGAAAAAAAAAAAAATCAGCTGTATAACATTTATAGTCACACTTATGTTCAGCTAGAAACTTTTATATATTTATATATAAAAATTGGGATTTGACTCAATGGAACTGAAACCTGAAAATTCCACCTTTCCCAGAATACACCATCTGGATATTATGCCATGAGTTAGATCTATCACTAAACATTTACATTCTCTAAGAAATATTATGATTTTATCACATAGCAAAGGCTAGGGGAAAAGTGATAAAAACCAAACAATTTCATAAGAGAAGAGCATAAGTTAATGTCTTCTGGGCGGTCTTAAATGTTTAACTGAACAGGCATTAACTAATTATAGTTTTTAATTCTGGTTAGCATTTTTATTTATGGTGACTCCTAGCTATTTATCAAAGAAATTTTATCCCACATTTTAAATATATCAAGGGCATCTCAATCACCCCCAAGGAAAAAAGAAAAAAATACATGGCTAACAGGTAATTTGTCTCATGAAAAACCTTTTAATTACCACCAGAAGCCAGCACACTGCCCAATCCCACATACGGTTCTCTCTTAAGGCTCACACATTTGACTCTATGAACGACCGCTTCGGTTTTGCTGAAGGAAGGTGACTCCTGTGGGCTTCGCTGCTGGCGTGAGGCCCCTGTTTAGAGATACTTTCCTGATACAGATGAGAAACAGTCTTAGCGATCCTGTTATCCTGACAGTGGACTGGAATCTGGCATTTCTTCTCTTCGCGCTCCTTCGCCTGTGCCGCACTGTGGACACTTCCCGCCAGGGTAGGAACAGAGCAGGTTTTGGCCTGGCTGGTATGCCCTCCTGCTTGTTTGAGAGGGGGCTTCTCCGAGTTCAAGGGCTGCAGGCCAGCTGCAGAAGACGCGTTTGTCAGGAGCCCCTCCGGCATCTGACAGTGCCAGGTACGGCTTGGAGGGTTGTTCTGCTGCTGGAACCTGGCAGTCTTATCCATGATGCCCATGAACGGAGTACTGCGCGGCCTGTGCTCAGCTGTCCCGCCTGGAACCGGGTTAACAACCTTGTCTTTGATGCGAACGTCCGGTCCCTGGACCTTGAAGCCATCGGAAAAACTGCTGCTCGAAGTCAAACTACTGGTTGAGCTTGACATCTTGATGCTGCCAGACGGAGAACCAGAAGAGCCCGAGCTGGCAAGGGAAGCTGGATGTCGCACGTCGCTGCAGCTCGCTGGCCCACCCTGGTTTAAAGGAGCGACGTCCGCAGCGATGGGGGCATGAGACAGAAGCCTCTCTGCGGTTTTTATCTTGCTTGGTAAGGGACAGGCAGCGCCACCGTCGCTGTGCTGCAGCTGGACGCTGTGGCTGGGGCCCAGCCGCTCTCCGAAATGGCCAGAACCGGCCCCCACAGTCGAAGTACCTGTTCCCTCCAAACGCGGGGTTCTGCCCCCCGCGGGAGCGGCCGCCGTCCCGCCGGGCGGAGGCCTCGGGGGAGGAGTCTGGGCAGAGGCCTGCATTTTCGGGCCGCCGCCTCGCGCGCCTGGCTGCGCGGGCCCCAGATGTTGGCTGGTCTTCACGATCTGCGCCTGCCGCGTGGGCTGCAGCACCAGCCCCGGCGGAACCACGGCCTCCCTCAGGGCCTTACCGACCCCCGGCCTGTTCTGCGGGGACACCGGCCCGGCCGTGGACTGTAAGCCTTCCTGAAGGTTTCGGATGTACGGAGAGGGGACACATGCGGAGGGCTGAGGCCTGGGCGTCGGGGAAATGGACTCCTCCTGCGACGACGTGTCTTCGTCTTCGGCCTCCTCAAGATGGAAGTGGTCGTTCAAGCCAGCGGTCGGGGCGTCCTCCTCGTTTTCCGAGTCGTTGGGCGCGGCTGGCAGCGGGCACTGCTGTTTTTGCTGCTGGCTCCTCTGCAGTTGCTTGCACTCCTCCTCCACACGGGCCAGGAGCCTCCTGATTTCCTGATTGGTGGGACAGAGCTTCACAGCTTCCCGCAGGTCAGCCCGGGCCGCCGCAAACTGCCTTTATGTCAGAACAGAAGGCGGAGTTACAAGCCGTGTAGGCACGCGCTCGGGACGTCGCTGTGCGTAAGAGAGCTCTGCTAGCAAGAGCGGGAAGGCGGCCGAGGGCGTTTGCAACACTGGCGGGGGTGGGCAGAGCCCGGTCCGCACTGGCTTAGAGCTACTGGGCGGCGCGGGAGCGAATCCCGGCCCCCACCTGCGCCGCCATGCCAGGGCCCCGCTGTCTCTGCAAACCCCACCGGGCCGGGAGTGGGAACCGGCATAAGGCAGTGGGTGTCGGAATCCTCCTTCGCCACCGCCTCTCACCGCGTCCATCTCTAACCCACATGTCTTCCAGGCCTCTCCTCCCTTCCCCCACCTGCCTGCTCTCGTGTCTCTAGCTGGCAGCTTCCCTGCGAGCACAGAGGCATTCTGTGTGGCAGCAAGTGGCAGCTGGGGCGCAGGGCAGGAACGGTTACGGGGATGTCAAGAGAAAACAGAAGTCTAGCCATTGCTAAGAATACCCGCTGCTGTGCCCCTTGGAAGCTAGGGATGAGAGGCATTTGAGTAATGCCTGTGAGTCAGCAACCCCCAAAGTCAACCAGCAGCTGTGATAGTGCAGAGACCCAAGAAGGCTCCTCTAGTCACAGACCGACCCCCAGACAGTACCTGCTATTTCTCTTCGCTCTTGCCCTGGCATAAAAGGCTTCATAGGACTTTGGTTTCAATTCGAGAGCCTTGGAAGCAAATTCTTCTGCCATGCCAAAGTCCTAGTGTCAACATTTAAATACATGAGTCAAGAGAAGCACTGAGACAGGATTACAGGCAGCTTCTTACTAGGAGTTTTGCTCTACAGGTTGGCAGAGAATTGGGACAGCTGGGGAGGTAAACGGCAAGGGAAGTTTTAGTTCTCTTGTTTTAAAGTAGGTAGACAGTTAAAGCTTATTAATATCTTAAGAGTCTTAAGAGTTCAGTAGAGAAACAAAAATTGGTGATTCCGGACTGAGAGAAGAGCGGTAGAAGCCATGCATCAGCAGGCAAGAGTGGACGGAAGCCAAGCAGCTGGTGGGGGGGCTCAGAGAGGGGCAGAGACGCGGCCCACTGGAACAGCTCAGCTGCGGAGGTGGGGGGGGGGCCTCAGGGAGGGGCAGAGACACCCCCCACTGGAACAGCTCAGCTGGGTGGGGGCCTCAGAGAGGGGCAGAGACACGGCCCACTGGAACAGCTAGGCGCCCCCTACGCAGTGGGGGGGGTGGGCACAGAAGTGAGGTCAATGGATTTGGTGGTGAGAAGATGAAGTTTAAAAAAAAAAAAAAGTAGGAGAAATAAGTACTGAAACAAGTCTATGAGTTACTAGTTACAAATTAACTATGAAGTAACTCCTACCAATTACAAGTTAACCAGTTACTGGTATACCCTCTGGGCAAACACAATAACCACTAGGCAGATTGGAACACACCCATGTTCAACTCAATGGTACCCTTTCCTTCTGCGTCTGGGAAGGGCCGCCCATGACAACGTTGGCAGCACCCAGTCGGGAAGGGACAGAGCAGCAGTCTGCTCGCCCTCATTGCTGAGGCAGAGGACAGTGCCCTCCAATGCGCTGTCTCAGGACCTGGAGAGGCGGGGCGGGACAGTGACCACATGACAACCACCCAAGAGAAGCAGCTCCCCACACGCCAAGTTCACAGAGATGCGCGAACAAATCACACAGCAGACCCCCTGACTTGGTCTGTGCAGGGCTGGCCTTCAGCACGAGCCAACACTCTACTACTAAGACAGTAGACCAAGGGCCCACAGCTTACATTTGTTTTTCTTCGGCAGCGAGACAAATTGAGATAGAGGGAAACTCTTAGTTCATTGAATGGCCTCATGTCCTCTCCAAATCCTTCTCGGGGAAACTTCCTTAAGGCGTACTGGTACCTCTGGGCTGCCTCTTTCATCTTCCCTTTCTAGGAATCAAAAAGCACAGAAATTGATCCTTTTCCAGATGCTCCAAGATGAACAGGCTCCCACAACCTGAAGACCCTGGCGAGGTTCTCCCTCCACCACCTAAACCATCAGAGCACATGCGAGGCTCCGGCTGGCATGAACCGGCCTCGCTGTCCTCGGGCTTCTGCAGCCTCCAGCTCCGCGCAGTAAGACAGAAACTGGTTTTCTAGGAAGCAGTCTGTACGTTGCCAAATTGATAACTATCAATCTTAAAACATCAGATTATCCTGTTATATATATATATTTTTATTATTATTATTGAGAGAGAGAGAGCACCACGCACACGGGTTGGGGGGAGGGGGAGGGGGAAAGAATCTTAAGCAGGCTCCACACCCAGCTCAATGTGGGTCGATCTCAAGAGCCTGAGATCATGACCTGAGCTGAAATCAAGAGTCAGACACTTACCCGACTGAGCCACCCAGGTGCCCCTCCATTACATATTTTTGAAAACCAGCTCAGAAATGATCTCTCATCCACAGATGTTTTAATGCTAAGTGTAACAGAAATCAGATGAAGAAACGATGTGGTTCTCAAGGCAAGTACAGTCTTGTGGTGAAGCCTAGAGCTTGCTGTAGAATCATAATTTTTCTTTGAAGAGGAACTAAAGTGTGGGCTTTAAAAATCGAACAGCGCTGCACGTCATTTTCAAGGCTAAAGAAATCCATTTGCTCAGTCACGGCGCAGCAGGTATGAAGTCTGTTGAAAATGGCTTGATATTTCTAACATAATTGCCTACCAAACTTCATATTAAAACCACTTCAAAGCCGCAACAACACACACTCTGAACTCCATTTCAAAAGGATTCCGAGCCAGGAACCCTGCTGGGTCGTGCTAGATGCCTACTTATTTGTCGTTATTAAAAAAGGAAAAGGGAAAAACTAAATGTAGCCGTGCAGCAGCCTCATGATAAAAGGATTAAAATGGTCATAATGCAGTTTTTTTTGTTTGTTTCCAATACATTTAATTCTGTCTAATCACAGACCTGGAAAGAGCAGCGATCCACATAAATGGCCTAAAGCATCTATCTAAGCCAGGGGTGGGCCAACTACAGCTTCCGGGTCAAATCTGGCCTGCCACCCATTTTTACAAATACCGTCTGCCTGGGACACGGCCGCGCCCATATGCTCGTGTGTCACCTGCTGCTTTCGTGCCACCACAGAAAAGCTGGGGAGCCGCGACAGAGACCACATGGCAAAGCCTAACATATTTACCGTCTGGCCCTTCACAGGAGGAGTCTGCTGACCTCTGGTCTAAGCTGAGGTCTTATTTTAGAAATTTTACTTTAAATTTTATTTACAATTTTTACTTTTAAATTGCTAGTCTTTACATTTCCATTTCTAAGGGATAACGGGGAAAAAACTGAGTCAGTCTCCTGAGTAAGAGTATTCTATACATACACCTTGACTATCTTAAGTAAAAATATCTCTAGAAACCATTTCAAGTGGCAGAAGCGTACGGATATTAAAACTAAGATAATAAAGTCTTAGGAGACTTAATGATCCTCTTCTTCTGAAATGTCCCTGAGTGTCCCTTTCCCGCGTGTGTCACGACATGGTGTACTCAGGAATCTCCTGCCTGAAGCGCCTCTGCCTTCAGGCCAAGGCTTCAGGCCCTAAGTCACAGCCGCGAGGACTGCTTCCGGCGTAACGGTTCTCCAACACGGAGACGGGCCTTCTGCCTCCAAGGCCCCGCTGTTAAGGCCCACAAGCCTGGGCCCGGGGCCCCGCAGCGTCTCCCAGCCCGGCCGCCAGTGTGCCGCGTGCTGGCACGGTCCCGTCCACGCCAGCCTGGGAGGCTGCTTGCGGGCTGTCACATCCCAGGAAAGGGCGATAGCACTTACTTTGTACATCATGTTTCCTTCCTCCATCAATTTCTGTAAAAGTATAATCAAGATATCAGGTTTGGAAGTAGCCATCGCCCAGGCAGCATTTCCTGCAAAACAAAGACGGCATTCAGAGGCACGTCAGTGCTCAGGGAGGAAAGGAGGTCACGGCTTCTGGGGCCGCGCCGCAGCGAAGGTCACAGGCAGCAGCACGGCGTGTCCGGCAGCTTCCAGACAACGGGAGAATGAAGGGGACACGGGCTGGCCCCCAGGGAGCGGGTTTCCCTTTGAATCGACCTCACGCTGAGCGAAGCAACCTGGGAGGGAGGCTGTCCCAGGTGCACCTGTTACTCGGATGAAAACAGAGTGCTGGGAAACCGAGGCATCAGAGCGGCCGTGCCCAACCACCCCCCTCCACCCCCCCATTCCAGTGGAGAATTTGGGGAAAATCAATTAAACACGGCTTCCGAATAATCTCCTTCGCTTCCTGCAGGGCGCACGTCGGCTGGCGAGTGAAGGCCTGCGTTCTCAGCAGCCTCGGCACTGTGCCCGCCCAGGCAGGCTGGCTGCGGCCCCGCCGCCCTCTCCCCAGGCCCACGGCCCCGCGGCCCCCAGCCCCGCTCCTGAGCACATGCAGGGGAGGCAGCTTACGGAAGAGCAGGGTCGGGAGCCACGCCGCTCGGCCTCAAGCACGGATTCTGCCGAGCACTACGACCTGAGGAAAGCTATTTGCCCCCGCTGGGCCTTGGTTTCCTCCTCTGCAACACGATGGGGTTATCACTACCTACTTCGAGGGCAGGTGAGGATGAAAGAAGCTAAAACTAGAAACTGCTCAGAATAATTCCCGAGATGGCGGACTGCTTAATAACATCAGCTGATCTTCTCATCTTCGCAGGAGTCACCTCCTCACGGCCGCCGCTGGTCAAAGGTCTGGCAGACTAAAATACAAGAACCCTGTTCCGGCTGCCCTGCACCCACACATTCTGAGTGGCGGGTCATGTTCCGGCCAGCCACACGGAAGAGGCTCTCCCTACTGAGGCCCCTTGGCCCCTTAAGTGTCCTCAGGTGACCCCCCCCATCCTGTTTCCCGTTTCCTGTGACCTTTCCTTCACAGAAACTGCTGGGGCTTACCCGACGGACGAGGACAACTCCAGAACAGCGGTTCTCAAACGCAGCTGCTCAGCAGCGCACCTGTGAGCTTTCTTAACCACAATGCCCGGCCTCCCCCCCAGAGGTGAATGGAACAGCTCCCCACCATGGCTCCTGGGCATCCCTAATGCCCTCAATTCTAGACTGTTCTTCAACACTGGTTGCTGCTCTCTACCCACACGGCAATGATAACGTTATGAGCTACTGAAGCATTTTGGATAACTGTGATTAAATGAGCCTTATAGAGGAAGGAAAAAAAATCTCTAAGCACCTGACATCTTACTTTTTAATCTGAGAGCAGGGAAATCTCTACGGTCCCTGACATACTCTAGAATCTGAAGCTCACCTCCCTCCCCTGCTGCTGAAACGAGGTGTTTACTGACCTAATTTGGCTCCTTTTCTCAGCAGTGTAACCACTACGGATGTGTTTCGACAACCAATGGCTCTGTCCAAGGGGCGCATGCCACTGTGGTCCACGTGCTCGATCACGGCTCCCTTGTCAACCAGATACAGCACCTGCGGCGGGAAAGACAGAGCTCTGAGGGGTGGTCGGTGGCAAGAGCGCCGCACCCCACCCGCCCCTGCCTCCTGGGGAGCAGATGGCAGTCTTAGCTTTACTGTGATCTTCCCTACCTCTGGCCATTAAGGATCCTAATGGAAATGAAGCAGACGGGAAACAGAGGAGCTGCCATCCACGGCTAAAACCCAGTCTGCTATCAGCAACGAGGAAGGCGGGTGAACATTCCCAGGGAGGGACACGTTACGTGCGTGCACCCATACACCGCAGAGGAGTACGTGCACGTCCACTTCCCCTGCCACAGAGATGGCCACAGTCCTCTTTTCATCTCTGATTTCTTAGGAGGCAGACGTCTGCAACAGCTCCAATGTGCTGGCAGCCTACAGCAATGGGTACCTCAGAAACACTCAGATCCACACTGCCTGGGGACAGCAAGCTGGAGAAGCTTGAGGTCAAATAAACCCAATTACAACTCACTTTAAGGCTTAGGAAAGAGACCATGGTACCTAGATGATGTGGCATGACAGCAGTCACTTGGACATGAAGAGAGCACAGAGGAAAAAACCACTTTGGCTACTCAGAGTGTTCTACTCACTAGAAGTCTGTAGCCAGCTTAGATTTTCATGTGAATCTGATAGTCCACCAGCTGCTCAAAAGGACACTGGATTAATTTCCATAATATATAAAGAGCTTCTACACCTCAACAACAAAAAACCCAAATAATCCAATTTTAAAACAGGCAAAGGACACGAATAGACATTTCTCTAAAGAGGATATACAAATGGCCACCGAGCGTATGAGAAGATGCTCAACACCACTAATCATTGGGGAAATGCAAATGAAAACCACAAGCTATCACCTCATACCATTAGGATGGCTGCTATTAAAAGAAAACAGAAAATTTTAAGTGTTGGAGAGGATGTGAAGCAACAGGAGCCCTTGTGCATTGTGGATGGGAATGTAAACTGGTGTGATCACTCTAGACAGTATGGAGTTTCCTCAAAAAATTAAAAACAGAACTATCGTTGGATCCAGCCATCCCACTTGTGGGTACATATCCCAAAGAACACAGATAGATCTGGAAGAATTTACAGGATCTTGAAGAGGTATTTGCACGCAGCCAAGAGCTGGAAGCAACCCAAGTGTTCATGGACAGATGAACTGATTAACACAATGTGGCAGGGCCACATGATGGAATGTTATTCAGCCTTAAAAAGGAAGGAAATCCTGTTACAGGCTACAACATGGATGAACCCTGAAGACACGATGCTTAGTGAAAGAAGCCGGTCACTAAAGGACAACCATTCTAGGACTCCGCGTAGATGAGGTACTAGAGTAGTCAATTCACGGAGACAAAAGCAGAATGGTGGCTGCCCAGGGCTATAGGAGGAGAGAACCCAGGCCTTGCCGAGTAGGTACAGAGTTTTAGGGTTACGGGGTAAAGTGTGGATGTTAGCTGTACAGTCATGTGAAGTGTATGTAACACTACTGAACTCTTTGCTTAGAAATGGTTAAGATGGTAAATTTTATGTTGTGGGTTTTTAAAGCACAATTAAAAAAAATTACACTAGAATGCTAAGCTCCTTCATGCTTCCCTAATATACTGATAAACTAGGATTTGGTAACGTGACATAAGCTGAAACATAAAAGTACGGATATGGGAAGTGTAGTTACACAGCTGTTTTTGAAAATCGACATTAAGTACAATTTACACCGTCCAGGAAATCAAGACCGTTGAACGCCAACATCACTGCCTCCTAAAAGCATCAAGGCAAGACGTGCAGAGTGAGGACAGCTTCTGTTCCAAGCTCCTTTGCTCCCAGCAAACCACGATCTGTCTCTCTGGCTAATCTGCACATGACACCTATTTAATTCTTCAAAAGTGGTAACTCTCAAGGAGCCAAACATTCCTTTAACATTAAACCTGCTCAGTGCCTGGGATGCGGAACCTGACAAAGACATGGTTTCTGCCCTGAAAGACATTTTGCAGTTCTTAGCTTACTAATGTTTTGTCCTTTCTTATCTCCGTTAGACTTAGGCATCTGGCAAAGAGATTAAAAGATAATGCCCTAAGAATTTTATATTATTTCTAGACAATGGCACACCCATTTAAAAACAAACAAGATCATTATCTGATTAGTAATTTCTCATATACATAAAAAAGCAATTTTGAAATGCTCTGTACAGGAATTCTATTTATATGGGTTACTAAGAAGAAAATAAAACTACATATGCATGTGTGTATACATATTCAATTATGCGTCTGCCGAAGACGCAGTTTGTAATTGTGTATTTTGAAGGTTTTAAGAGTCTATTAAAATCTTTACTCAAGTTCTGGAACAGACTGCATGTCACAGAATAAAAGTGAAAACTCCCCCACAGCACTCCCGTACATGCTGACCACACGCAGACACGGCCTCCCACACACTCGGGGAATGGTTCGACTCCGGGAACGGGTTTCTCCGCGGCGCAGGCCCAGGTGCAGGTGGACAGCGCGACCACCTGTGGGTACGTACGGTCTCTGCGTCGCCGTAGAAGGCGGCCAGGTCCAAGGGAGTGCGGCCGTTCTTGTCCGTCTGGTCTATCTCGGCTCCTTCCTCAACCAGAAACTGGACCACTGCTCTGTGACCTTTCAGACAAGCCCAGCTTAACGCCGACAGACCCTCTTTGTCCAGAGAAGAAAGGGCAGCACCTGCAAGAACAGCGCATTCAAAGAACATGAACTCGGTAAGATAGAGCCCAGAAGCAAACGGATTCACATCTGCAAACACCTGCGCTCACGCGCAGCAATCAAGCCTCTGACATCTGAAGCTGGCAAACTGCTCACCGCAGTTGAAGCCCAGTAATGGGTATGGTACGACATGCACTGCCCATTCTTTCTACTTATGTGTAAATCAGAAAATGCCCGTAACAAAAAGACTTCTCAAACTTGAATCAGAAAGTACTGTCAGCGGGTCTGCCAAAGCTCTTTGCTTTGTCCTTCCAAAAGAAACCTCCGCGGGGGCTCCCACGCTGCTACCTTTGGAAAGGAGAAATTCCACGGTGCTCAAGTGTCCTTCACAAGCGGCCACCATGAGGGGCGTCCGGCCCTGCTTGTCACTTAGGCTCACATCACAGCCGCGGTCCAAAAGCAATCTAACGATCTGAAAGAAACACTTGGAATTACAATCTCCCTGCTCCATTTCAGATCTTGTGCTCTCTACCCAGGCAGATTTTTCTACACTTAAAAGTAGCAAAGGATTCTCTTCTTCAAATGCCTAAGTTGTGTGATTTGTAAGGCCTGTGAAATCTTTCCATTGGATTCCTTTGAACAGAATCTTCTTGCAAATATATACTCTTTTTTTTGACACGCCCAATTCATTATTATACCTATAAAACATGCACGGGGTGCCTGGGTGGCTCCGTCGGTTAAGCGTCTGCCCTCGACTCGGGTCATGATCCCAGGGTCCTGGGATCGAGCTCCACATTGGGCTCCCTGCTCTGCAATAAGCCTGCTTCTCCCTCTCCCACTCCCCCTGCTTGTGTTCCCTCTCTCACTGTCTCTGTCAAATAAATAAATAAAACCTTTTAAAAAATAAAAAATAAAAAAAATAAAACATGCACATACAAGGCATAAACAGTAACGTGGAAAAGGGGAGATACCAATTGCAATCAGGCAATGACCAGACAGCCACAACAGAGCATATGGGAGAACTAAAGGAGAGGACAAAGGTTATGGGTCCCATGGTGGGGCTGCAGCTACACTCTGGTAGGAGGACACAGACTGCAGGAAAGCGTTCACCCACCACACCCCCAAGCAATCTGCTTTTCTAAGCCTCGGGGGCTTAGTGGATGGTTTGACCTTCACAGCAGGCAATTTTTAGCAAAGCTTCCTGGAAGAGATTCCCAGCCTCAGAACCGTGCCTTCAACCAGTGCATGGTGGTAAGGCTGAGGAACAAAAACAAAAAACCAGAGAGGCTTCTCTTAACAACTACCATCCCAGTGGGAGGGCCTTTATATAGGGGGTGGGCCAGAGTCTCCCTCCCTCTGGCCCAGTATTTGTTATATGGCCACAACAACAAAAGGTGGCATATTCCCGATGCTTCCCTGTTCCTGATACACTGATACATGCTTTCCAAACCTCCCCACGATTTAGGAAAACTGAGACCCAGAGAGAGAGGATTAGTTAGGGCAGCACAGAGAAGTTGTGAGGATAACAGGGAGCAGATAGTACAAGTCCAGCTCTTGGAAATGAAACTGAAAAGCCAAAATCTTGGTGGGGAGCACTTGCAGTTCCTAACAAGGGGACTAGCAAGGAGTGACACAATTCCATGATGTAAACTTGGATCTAGAAAATTCTTCCTATAATGGACATGGTAAGATCCATTTGTTTGTTTGCAGCTTGTGTGTAACCGGATGCCAGGCATGGGGTTGGCCCATGGCCGCTGCTTCCAAAATGAATAAACGACCGAACTGCTGTTCTCAAGGATCCGCTGCTCCCTTGAATTAAGGTAACAACAGGTCACTCCTAGTAAAAGAAACCAGCCTGATGGGGCAACCGGGTGGCACAGTCGGTTAAGGGGTTTTGGTTCAGGTCATGATCTCGGGGTCCTGGGATCGAGCCCCACATCGAGCTCTGCGCTCAGCAGCAGGGAGTCTGCTTGAGATTCTCTCTCCTCCCTCTGCCCCTCATGCTTGTGTTCTCTAATAAATAAGTAAATCTTTAAAAAGAAAAGAAAGAAACCAGCCTAAATCACAGTGCTGGACCAGAGAGAAAATGTTTCCTTTTCTAAAGAGCACAACAAAACCACTCGTCTTCCAAGTGTGTTGGACGAATGGGTGACACCATCACGATAACAGCTGTGTCACAGCAAGTCTCCTGTTATGGTAACAGGGTGCACCCACTCCCCGTTCCCTCGCTGGGTCTCCCCCGCCCCAGGCTAGCTCCTGGTTACCAGCCTACGAGGGCGGACTGTGCTTGCCTGTCAAACGTTTGTGGTTATTGAGGAGAACTGACAGCACAAGCAGAAGCCAAGTACGTGAAAAAGACAGGGCTCAGCGGAGCCGCACGTGGCCCCAGGGGAGAGACGGGCCACAGTGAACTCCACCCCACCCGTGGCTTCTGCAGCCTTCGCGGGCCCACCAGGTACCTGCCAATGCCCCTGGCGTGCTGCACAGAACAAAGGTGGGACCCCTCTCCTGTTAGTCCGAGACACCGCAGCTCCGTGCTCCAGCAGCAGCTCGCAGACCTCCAGCTTGCCTCTCCCTGCAGCGGCAGTCAGGGCTAGAGGAGGGTCACAGGGGAGGGGGAGTCTATTAGTGTGCGGGGGTAAAGCGGCCACGAGGCCTCGCATCACCCTCCCACCGACAGGAAGGCGCCTATGCGTCCTCCCCTGCCCCCCTGAACCCGGCTGGGCTCTGTGATAGCTTTGACCAACAGAACGCAGAAGAAATGATGACATGCCAGTGTCTGGGCCAGGTCCTGAGATGGGCAACGCCTGCTTCTCCTCGGAACACTCCTTCTTGGAACCCAGCCGACATGGTGGGAGGAAGCCTGAGCAGCCCTGCGGTGACACCCACAGGGAGAGGAATCCAGGCCTGTGGGTGGTGGACAGTCCCAGGAGACGGCCAGCAACAATCCAGCAAGCATGTGCGTGCGCTGTCCTGGTAACGGATCCCCAGAGTCTAGCCACACCAGGTAAAGCAGGCGAGCAGACGTGAGCCATCCCTACCAAGCCCAGTCCACACTGTAGGTTCAGGAGCCACTAGACTTTTGTTTTATTGTTTTATTTTGCTTTTTAGGGTTTTTGTTTGTTTTCTCCCCACAGCAAGAGATACCCAGAATACGGGGCAACACACACACACAGATCAGTATTTTATCCAGTTCAGCCTCTTCCCTTAAAGGCATAAATTTCAGTCAACAAGGACTAGTAATTACTGAGAGAGTCAAGGGCATATCAAGTCGCTCCTGTCTTTATGGAGCTGAGAATCTCTGTAACCAGCCGAGATGCTGGATTAAGAATGTCAAGAAAGATAAAATCTTTAAAAAAAAAAAAAAAAGGGCGCCTGGGTGGCTCAGTTGGTTAAGCGTCTGCCTTCAGCTCAGGTCATGATCCCGGGGTCCTGGGATCGAGCCCCGCATCGGGCTCCCTGCTC